AGAATTTTAATAATACTGTTTAAGGGGTTTTTTTCATTTTAGCTTTAGTTAATGGTTTTGACCGACATCCATTAAAATCAAAGGGGAGTTTCTAGTATTTGAAACAGTTGAACTAGGACCATAGTAGGCTAAGACCACAGGGGTAATTAAGTACTTCCCTCTGACGAACCCAATAAGACCAGGCGGAATGGAGGATTGTTAGAGATGTCTAATTCGAGTCATAATGGAATTAGAAGTAGCTTTTGTTTTAGGATTAGAAACCAAATCAAGAGTGGAATACGTTTAGGGATTAATAATTAATCCTTCTTCTCAGTGAAAAAGGTTGATATTATCCTACCACTATAAACAGGGCATAGAGTGGTAGAGGTTAGGGAATCAATCAATTAAATCAAAGTGTCAAAAGTGTTAAAAGAGGCAGAGTGTGAAGGGATAACTAGAGAAAAATAAGATTTCTCTCAGGGAGCGTTTGGTTGGGGGTTAAGTGAGATTACTGAGGTAAGTCATCTTATTTTACTTGATTACCATATTTGGTTGTCAAGTAATATCAGATACCGGTTATCTTCAAATACCAATAGTGGTTACTATTGGTAATATCAGAGGTAATCTGATTACCTCAATTTTCTTAGGTATTCTGAGATTACCAGGGTTATCTTTTTTTCTACAATTTTTACCTTTATTATAAAAATTAGACAATAATACCCCTACTTTAAAACAAATTTACATTAATATCCTATTTCAATTTACCCTTGTTAATTAAATTTTGGACAATAATGCCCTTTATTTAATATATTTACGACCACCACACTGCCACCATACCACCACCCACATGCCACCAGCCACCACGCCGACAGCTGGCCAACCACCACGGACCACCTCCGAAAAATCGTCGGAGTCCAATGAAGAAGAAAATTCTGTGGGGGCTCCGAGAGCTTCGTTATGGTCGTTTCCGGCCATCAATATGGCCGAAAACGGCCATAACGAAGCCTTCCGGAGCTTCCCATAGGATTTTCTTCTTTTTTAGGGGCTCCGGCGATTTTCCGGCGGTGTTCGCGGTGGCGGCAGGAGGTGGGGGTGATTTCATCATAAATAGTTTTTTTATAAGCGGGGGTTTTTAGCTAAATCTGAAATATTAGGGTTAAAAGAATTATTCAAAAATTAATAATAATAAATATTATATTAATATTTAAAAGAGGGTCAATTTAGTAATTTAAATAACATACCCACCACTTTATTCCCATAACCAAACATATTAATATAACATACCCACCAACTAACCAAACATATTTTCTTAAAGATTCCCAGTAATCTTCTAAGGTAATCTATCTTTCCAGTAATCCAATGTTCCCAGTAATCTAACATTCTTGAACCAAACGCCCCCTCAGGGTTTTAGGGCTTGGGTTACTAGGTTTAGACTTAAGCTATAAACTTGTACCAAAATCTATTTTTCTTAGTGATTTCTCTTTCGTGAGGTAGGCTTGTTTTGTCTAACCACATTTAATTTTGGTGATTGTATTAGTTTCTCTCTTAATATTGTTTTGGCAGCGCATTTAACTCTAAGCAAGTGTTAGATAGACCAATTGATGCAGGAGCAAAGAAGAAGAGAAATGAAATTATTATGTTAGGTTAACTTTATTTTTGTCCCACATAGAAAAAATAAGCCTTAACTTTTCACTGGAGGGCTATAAATAAAGCTTTACTTTATCCTTTGTAAGAATCCTCTGAAATATTACTAAATATAGCTTGAGTAAAACATTTGCTTCTCTTTATTTTGAGGTTATAGTTATCCTTGGTTTAGCCAACCAATGTGGCTTTTTGGCTAATTTCTCATAGTGAGTTTATTCAACCTTATCACGATTGGTATCCATAATGGGGTTTCCAACATCATCAAGATTTGGGTTTCTCGCGAAGCGCCACCAATTTTACAACAAGGACTTTTAGAAAAGAAGCTAACTTGGCAAATAAGGATGACCTAGAATGAAAAAAGTGTAACCATGAGACTAACAGTTTGTAACTAATTTTTTGATTCCCCTCCAGGTCCTATGAGGCTATCAAAAGGAAGCACACTGTGTCAAATAGACTATTTTTTTTTTTTTTTCCCAAACTCTCTCAAGTGCAACTGTAATTTTCTCAGGATTTCTGTTTAGCCAAATACCTTCAATCTGTCATTTAAGACTCCAGAAAATCATCAAAGATCATAGTATCTTCAGTCATACATATAAGAAGATACATCATCTGGGATAAACTTCTAAGTGTAGACTAGAGGAAACAAAGAATTTGGTATTTATTGAACCAGAAGTAATGTATTATATCTCATTGCCCAAAGAATTTCCTGTTTTCAGGTTGATAAGTCATCTCAAAACCCAAGTAGCAAAACAAAGAATATTCTCGTTGGTAAGAAAGCACAACCGAGGTGATATTTTTCAATATAAATTACAACACAAATTAATTGTCAGAATTTCATCCTGAAATATTGCAATTTCCTTAATTAATTACAATTTCACACAAAAAACCAATTAAGTAAGATTATTACAGAGAGAGATGTTGAGAAATCACAAACCGGTGACCCAATGATGATCTTGAACCAAAGCTTTCAAGTTATGAGGATTTTCATCCCTTTGCCGAATTGACCGAAGACAAAGATAATAATATCTTATCTGTTTATCTTCCTGGTATCTTTTTTCTATGTTAGTCATTAATCTTTACTATTTTATTGAATTCGTTACTATTCAAATTATGCATGCAAATATGTTAGGAACTTTCCTGAAATATTTTCTTGTTTAAACATTTCCCTAAATCTTAGATTATAAAAAAAAAAAAAAAAGAATGTATATAACGTAAAAAATTTATGAATGTATATTAATCAAGTATGAACTCTCACTGATGCAGGATTTAAGCAGCAGCAAATAATTATACACTGCTGCGGTCATCTCACAAAATTCGAATTCAAGGAGAGCGAATATGTGTAAATAACAAACGGCAAAAATTCAATCAATGTTATACAATTCCACAAAATTCTAACCTAAATAAGATCCAAGCAAGGTGGGAGAATAAAGTTCTGAGAATTATAATGCCACAAGAGACCGTGACGCTACTAGTTCCAGCAGCTAAAGATCTAGAGCAAGCTGCTGTGAAGAGTAAAGGAGAGAGGCAAATAATGATTAGCGCCGGCGTGGGGGCTCTTGTCGGCATGGCGGCTCTTGCGGGTGCGGCATTTGGAGCTTATGTTTCCTGCATAATTGGATCAAAAAGCTAAAGATGATTTACTAGCTTGTTCTTGAAATATTAAATGCTGCTGATTAAGTTGTACGTATTTTGTGTTTCAATTGTGAATTCTGATCAAAATACATTTTACTTAATGGTATAAATTACTTATTGGGAAAATTTTTATGTCTTCACTTAGCTAGATTCCGTCAACATTTAGAAAGAACCATTTGTATGATTTTATCATAATTCTATAGTTTTATAAATTTATCAAAGAATTATTTCTGAGTTAGTACACTGCAAGAAAACTACTCATTTTCAAGCATATAATTTTGTCGATAATGGTAAAATGCCAATGTCTTTTCTTAATATAGATGGTCGTGCAATCCTCTACCATCAGAAAATCTATTGTTTGGTAGGCTATTCTGAATCATTATTCTATTATTCTATTTGGATTAAAAAATAGGATATATGTTTGTTTAACCATTCTAATCTGAAAATTAATCCAATTGTATATATATGTCTAAAAATAAAAAGATAGTGGGATTTGTTTTTAGATTTTTCAACTCTATTCAACTGAAAATATTTTTCTTTCCCTCCTTCCTCTACCGTTCTCTCTCTCATTTTTCTTTCAAGAACACCGTTCTTTGACCCTCCTCTTCTTATGCTCTCTCGTCGTCTACTTAATTCTTGATATTGCGTTAATTATGCATTCAAAGATTGGAACTCTCCACAACCGGGGAGGGAGGGGGGGTTGTGATTTCTTACAAATTGAGTGGAAAAATCCAAAATGCCTTTACTTTCAAATTGGGCAAAATCCCCAAATTTAGGACGGGCCAGGCCTAGGGATTCCCCAACATCCCCTTCTTGAGGATGGGTCGAGCTCAGGGAACACTTGGGCCCTCGGGCCAAGCCCAAAGACAGGGGTCCTCAACCCCACCCCGGTTCATGCCCATCCCTAATGTATAATATAGAATTTCAATGCATTTTTTTTTTTAAAAAGGGATATTTAAAAAATACATTTGGTAGAAATGAGTAGAAATATTTTCGAAAACCGTTCTTGAATACAATCCTAAAAACCAGTATAAAACGGTTTTCTACAGTTTTAATATGAAAACACATTTTCAAATATTGAAAGATATTAAAATACAAATAAAAAATTTGAATCATATTTAGTTTTGTATCCATCTGTAAATTAAGATCTTTAATGACAAAATAACATTATATAACTAATAAAATAGTTCGTGTGATGATATTATATTATAATATCATAGAAGAGTTAAGAAGACTAGAAGAGTAACATTATTTGTAAAATAACAAAGATAGTGCCGCAATTTCGAATCAGTTTATATTGTTTCAAAATTTTCAGCTTTAACTGGTTTTTTTTTATTTTTTTTTATTTTTTATTTTACATTGTCATGTAAATATTGTAATAATGTGATAAATATGATATAACAATTATGTCATTGTTGGAGCTGGATTTAAAAATATAAGATTTGGCTGTAAATTGGCTTTGCCGAATAGGTAAATAACTGGGTAAACTAAGCCAAAATAAAATTATCTTGAAGAAACCATGGGGAGTTAATTACAGGGCAAACAAAGAATTTGGTATTTATTTGAACCAGAAGTAATAGATTATACCTCATAGATGCCCAAAGAATTTCCTGTTTTCAGGTTGATAAGTCATCTCAAAACCCAAGTATCAAAACAAAGAATATTGTCGTTCTTAAGAAAGCAGTCAAAGCACAACCGAGGTAATATTTTTCAATATAAAATTACAATACAAATTGTCAGATTTTTCATCCTGAGACATTGCAGTTTGCTTAATTATATTACAATTTCACAAAAGAAACCAATTAAGTGAGAATTAATACACAGAAAGAGAGATGGTTGAGAAATCACGAACTTGTGCAGCCAATGATGATCTTGAACCTAAGCTTTCAAGTTATGAGGATTTTCATCCTTTTGCCGAATTGTGTACCGAAGACAAAGATTATAATGTCTTAGCTGTTCATCTTCCTGGTATCTCTCTCTCTCTCTTTTTTTTTTTTTTTTTTAATATTATTCCTTAGTTCTTTACTATTATTATTTAACTCTTTATTGTTCTATTTATGCATGCAAATGTTTTAGGAACTTTCCTGAAATATGTGTTCTTGTTTAAACATTTCTCTTAAATCTTTGACACAAATAAAAAATATTATAATGTATGTGATATTTTACAAATAAATTCAATAGTATTGATATAATTTATATTATGACCGTATTTAAATACTATTGGATTTATCAATAATGGATTCATTGGATATTTTATAGATTATTTAATGGTGTTTTATCATGTTTTTGATAATATCAATATCAGAACTTCTTAACTATAAATTTTCCGTGTGTACATCTTCATGCATATCTTTGCATTTTTTAAACATATTGATCTCATTAAATTGTTACAGTAAATTTATGAATGTATATTAATTAATTAAGTATGAACTCTTACTTATGCAAGGATTTAAGCAGCAGCAAATAATTATCACGATGCTGCGGCCATCTCACAAAATTCGAATTCAAGGAGAGCGAATATGTGCAAATAACAAACGGCAAAAATTCAATCAATGTTATAAAATTCCACAAAATTCTAACCTAAATAAGATCCAAGCAAGGTGGGAGAATGATTTTTTGAGAATTATGATGCCAAAAGAGACCGTGACGCTGCTGGTTGCGGCAGCTAAAGATCTGGAACAAGCTGCTGTGAAGTGTAAAACAGAGAGGCAGATGCTGATTAGCGCCGGCGTGGCGGCTCTTGTCTGCGTGGCGGCTCTTGCGGTTGCGGCATTTGGAGCTTATGTTTCCTGCATAATTGGATCAAAAAGCTGAAGATGATTTGCTAGCTTGTTCTTGAAATATTAAATGCTAGTGATTAAGTTGTACGTATTTTGTGTTTCAATTGTGAATTCTGATCAAAATACATTTTACTTGATGGTATAAATTATTTATTGGGAAATTTTTTATGTCTTCACTTAGCTAGATTCCGTCAACATTTAGAAAGAACCATTTGTATGATTTTATCATAATTCTATAGTTTTATAAATTTATCAAAGATTTATGGTGATGTAAAGAAAGTTTTTACCGAATTATCCAGATCAAATGTGTATACAATTAAAGCAAATAAGCCGGAACGGAAGAAATAATTATAAATATTGAGGCTCCGTTTGGTTCACTTTTTTACACTTTTTAGAAAGGTTTTTGGAAAAAAAGTTGAGTTGGGCTGGGGCTTTTTTACAATTTTTAAAAAAAATTTAGGGGTATTTAATTAAATTAACAAATTTAGGGGGTTTAAAAAAAGTTGAATAATATTGAATAATTTTGTGAGTTTTTGCAATTTTACTGTTTAACTTTATTGGGAATACTAATAGTAATATTCCCAAATGTGAGCCAAATGAAGCCTGATTTCTTATCCTTATTCCGTTAGCCAATTCTTGACAGAGTTAACGTTAAAGATGATATTTGTATGAATTTTAAATAATAATACAACGGTGTTGTATGAAATAATCATAAATATTGATTTCTTACCTTTATTCCATTAGCCAATTGTTGACGGAGTTAACGTGAAGGATGATGTAATTTTTAAATAATACGAGGGTGCTGTGTGGTGAAAAGTGCCAAATCTAAAAACATCAGGGGCCTATTTGGTAGATTATTTGAAAAAAAAAATATATATTTAAGTTAAGTTGAGTTGAGTTGGATTAAACCGAATATAATAAGATTTTGAAAATAGAGTTGGGTAAGGCCCAGTTCCAGCAGAGCCCGGGATTGGGCTCATGAGAAATATAAGGGCCTGAACTAGTCCTAGGCCCATAGGACTGGTCCTCCTAAGGGCTTGGAAATATTTTTTACCCATCTAATTTTTTATATCTTTGGGGGGTTTATGAAAATATTTAGGGGGTGATTTGTGATTTTTTTAATTAATTATTAATTAGTAAATAAATATAAATGAATTGTTAATTGGTTATAAATTTAAGGTGTTTTTAATTTAAACTTTAAAAAGATAATTTAATTTTAACATAAATATAATATTCACACTTTAAAAATAAACAATTAAATAAATTTGTTTGTATTAAATTATTAATTTACATCGTCAATGTTTACATAGTCCAAATTTGTATTTCTAAAGAGATCGAGTAATTCGAGATCTTTAGGGTGTTGTTGTAGTCATTTGTCTGCATAAGTCCAATCCTGTAAAGATATTATGACTTCAACCATTTTATTGGTTAAAGAGCATCTTTTGTCTTAACAATGTAGCCACTAATAGAGAATGTTGACCAGAATGCAATTGTCAAAACTAGCAGAGATAAAATGTTACGTGTCATTTAGGCTACAATGGGGAATTGACTTTGATTTTGGTTCAACCATTGAAGCAGATCCATCTCACGTTTCTCCTTCTTGGTTATGTGGGACATGCCCATTTTTCGGTACCACTACAACTCATTTGGTCCATGTTTGTACAAGTTGGAGCTGCTACTTCCACGACCACCACTACTGAGTTCCATATACATTCTACATGCTCGATTCTTGTTGATAAATGTCTTCATCAGGCTCTTGTTAGTCGTCTCTGATGGGCATTCCATTATACCTAGTCTAATATAAAGAAAAAAAAAACTTTTGAATTTTCTGCTAAAGTCTATCAAATAAGAACTATAGTCATGTCCTAAATGTTGGCTTATCTCAGTAACCATACAACTAAATATGTTTAATTTAAACCTAGGATTTACAATAAGACCCAATCCATATAAGAATAGAATATTTAACCAATATTTCTAGTATTTTGTTTTCATTTGTGAAATAATGTTGCTTAAATCTTCATTATATCTATGTTTAGCAAAATTTTTAGAAATTTGAAGTAAAATATATAATGCTAAATTAGTAGTAGGATAATAAATATCACTTAGTATATTAGTGGAATCGTTAAAAACTTTAACAAATGAATGAAAACATTTCAAACCGTCCAATCATCATCGTTGATGACTTTGTCCAAATAGTTCTTCCAGTTGACAAACTCTGTAATTTGTCTTGCGGTTGGCAAAACTCTTTGTAACATCAAGTACGTGGAGTTCTAACGGACGGGCAGGTCCGTATATAACTTCTCTTGTTGAACCGACGGCTCATCTTGGCGACAATATTTTACGTACTCATTCCATCTTGTATTGCTAACAACGATGAATCCGATAGTTGCATGCACCCTTTTAATCCTTGAATTTATAGCTTCTAAACTTGCTTTAACAATCAAATTGATGATGTGGCAATCACATCTCTAGTGAAAAAAATTGTCTTCACCATGCAAATCAAATCTCTTTTCACATAAAGAAATTGTCGTAATGTTAGTAACTGCATTATCAAGCGTTAGAGCCACAACTCTCTCAGTTAAGAAATAATCTTGCAAAACTTCAATAATTGTAAAATAAATAATCTCAGCACTATGTTTAGCATATAATGGTTTAAAACCTATCAATTTTTATTGTAAACGCCAACTATGATCTAGCTAATGTATTGTGACACTCAAAAAATCTCTTTTTGATCTAACAGCCTATATGTTTGAAGTAAGTACAGTAGATATATTCCTAAAATTTTCAAATTCTATTTTAAGTTGATCTCTTATTTTATTATAAAGTTTTTGTATGTCCCTTCTACTTGTATGTCTACTAACAGGGCTATATACTACACAAAAAACATCTTTAATCATTTCAACAAAATAAGGATTTTTAGATAAAAAAGTAGGAGAGCTCATAACAACTATCTATCTTGCTATACCTCTCGTGTTTTAAGTGTATTGTATTGCCAGGTTGAGAGAGTTGAGGATTGTGAATTAAAATTAAGTTGAGTTTGAATTTGTTTACTAGGTCCGGTTGAAGTTGAACCAGACTGCATATCTTAGGGGTGCTTTCTTTCCAGGTGCTGCCACATCGTCAAAGTCACGTACTCAGTGCTGATAACGGTTGGACAAAAATTACATACCCTGCACGTTTCTTCCCCCTCCTCATTTGGCTTTGCCCATTTTCATTTGGTGAAGAATCGTCACACCCCAGACACAACCCTCTTTGACAGTCTTGTCATGGTGTCATAGCTCGCTTGTATTTGACTGGACACGGTCTCGACCATTTTTGGTTGTGGAATTGCTACCTTTGGAAAGGGTGAAAATGGATCGAACCCTTCTATTTCTTCGATGGATGGAACATAATACTCATTTGGGGATGATCTTCCGAATGCATAATTTTGAGAATCCATTATGAATTTATGATATAATAATAAATAACTAAATTGGAAGAAATTGAATAAAATAAATAATAATATGAGTAATAGATGAAATTGAAAAATGGAAGAAATTGAATAATATAAATAATAATATGAATAATAGATGAATGAATATAAATATAAATTGAAGAGAGTTTGAGAATTGGAGTAGAGAGAATGAGAGTTGTGAGGAAAATGAAATGGGTGGATAGAGGAGTTATTTATAGTTCAGGTTTGGGAGGGAAAGTGAAAGAAAAAACAATTCCCCCCCGCAATGACCGTTGGCTCAACGGTCACCAACTGTCGATTTCTAAATATTTTATTATTTGTAAAATTTTAGTTTAGCCCTTATATTTATTATCAATTATATAAAATAAGGGGTTATTGATATTTGCTAGGGGTGTATAGGAAATTAAGGGTGGGGGTTTGGGCCTGGCTTGGGACCTGGATGAGGGAACAACCCAAAGATCAATCCCTCCTCCTTGGGCCTAGTATGGGTTTAGGCCTAGGCCCTATAGGAACAGTTCTTAGGAGGATCGGTCATGAGTCCAGTTTTTTGGGTAGTCACATTGGGCCTCTATCTGAGAATGTATTTGGTATAATATCTGAAAATCATATTAGAGTTGGATGAAAATATTTAGATTACTTTTTAACCTCCTACATTTGTTAATTTAGCTAAATAACCCCCCCCCCCCCCCCCCCCAAATTTTTTTTTTTAAATTTAACAACAGTACCCCCACCCACCCAAGCCATTGTCGAACGACAGCCAACAATTGTCAAAACGATGTATGGCTGGATATGGTTGTTGTGCATCGATCTAGCCTTTTTTGGTCAGATCCATCATGGATCTAGGAAATGACCAGATCTCTAGCCGTCGTTGATGGCCAAAATATGGTCGTCAATGATGGCCAAAATCTGGCCGCCGTTAATGGCTGGATCTAGCCACAATAAATAAACAAACATATATTTTGTTTTTTAATCCAAATAAAATAACAGAAAAATGATTCAAAAGAGTGAAACAAACAGAGACTAAATTTTTATTATTATTATTTGCATATGCAAAGCAGTTGGTGTGGAAATATATAGTCCAGGTCACTTTCCACTTAGTTTCACCCCTGCTTAAAATTAAGAAATATGTTAAGATTCTAGGATTTATAGAATTGTCACAAATGGCTTAATAATGGAATCAAAATGACAAATTAGATCTGAAAATCAGAATACTATAACCTAAATCACTCAAAGAATATAAATCAAAATGGAAGAGCAAAAGGTAAGAGACACAATAGATTTATAGTGGTTCGGCTTTGCAGCCTACATCCACTCTCCAAGACTCAAAATAAAATATCATTAATCACAATGCCAAGATGTATAGAGAATTTCAACACAAAGAAGAAAACAAGGAAAGAACACACCCGAATAGAAACCCCTAGGCTCCTCTATGAATGCTTTATTTTTTCTCCATAGCCAACAAGATTGATTTATACACAAGAGTCACTCCTAAGAGTAGCCTCCACCAGTATTGGATTTCCCCACAACCGTGAGATGAACCACAACCTGGAATCTTCTTCATATCCATGCTTTTATTGAGGTGTAAGGAAAGAATGAGGTAGTTACAAGAGAGGCAGATCAAAGGACACGAAAAAAGAAGTTGGTTCTTATCAAAAAATTGATCCTTGTCACAAAACGGTGTCGTATAAACTCCCTTTGACCTCTTTATAAAAGAATTGACTCCACCATGACAAGTCATAAGCCACATCACCACAAAATAATTGATACATGGGTAACGCAATTATAACCAATAATCTCAATATTCACTAATATCGTTGTCTCATCCTTTTAAATGTAACAAACTGAATCATGGCTCAAATAATAGTAACTTAAATTTTGTTACCTAAATTGAGATGATCATGTAGAGCAATTCAATAGATTTGATAGGGAATTAAGTTAAAAGAAGTGTGCCTGGATAACATCGTTAATTCATGCAATAACTAATATCATCAATATTCTCTCATGATCTGAGCTTTTAAAAGCTTATGATTGGTAGTTACATAATAGAACATATTAAACAATTAGATCTAAACCATATATGTATAAAAATGTACAAGTGTCATGAGATCCTTGAAAAGTCGGTGAGATAAGATTTGGAGAGGATCCTATCTCAATGATTATGCCCTTTTTCTGTATATCTTTCTTTCCTTTTCCTTTTTAGTAGGATTTCTGGATTTGTCTTAATTTGTGGAAATGCTTATTCATTCTGAAAGCCGACTCTTCCATGCTTTCATATTAAGTTCAGATTACAGGGCAAACAAAGAATTTGCTTTTTATTTGTCCGAGAAGTTTCTCATAAATGACCCAAAGGGATTTCCTATTTCAGTCTTATAAGACAAGACATCGCCAAAACCCAAACCACCCAACAAGGAATAGTGTCATTTTTAAGAAACCTCAACCAAGTTACAATTATTTCTGAATATAATATTATATCAAATGTTGCAATAAACTATAAAAGCACAACACACATTGTCATAATTTTCATCCTGAGATATTGAAAAATTGCTTAACTGTATACACTTTCACAGAAGAAACCAATTAAGCTAGAATTAGAAGAGAGAGATGGCTAAGAAATCACAAACTGGTGCAGAAACAATGGATCCTAAGCTTTTAAGTTATGAGGATTTTCATCCCTTTGCCGAGATGAGCGAAGACAAAGATAATATTATCTTGACTCTTCATCTTCCTGGTATGTTTATTTTTTCATTAAGTCTTCATTATTTATTTTATCGTTTATTATTCAATTCATGCATATGCTATATAGCTTTCTGAAATAATAATACGTGTTTTCTCTTAAAGCTTAGAAAAGTAAGAAATTATTATAAATATTTGTGATTCTTGAAATTGATTATATAAATAATGCATGTAGATGCACGTCTCTTCTGTGAATTTTCATATTTTTAAAAACTACAAACCTCACTAAACAAATTCTTTTTTTTATCGAAAACAGTAAAAATTTTGTCTTTTTAATATTGATTTATTACTATATATATTTCAAAAACTTACGGATCGCTTATGTGCAGATTTCCAGAAGGAGCAATTAAATATCACGTGCGTACGCGCATCTCACATAATTCGAATCAAGGGAGAGCAACAAATTGCAAGCAACAAATGGCGCCGGTTCAATCAATCTTATACAGTTCCACAGAATTGTAACCTAAGTAAGACCCTAGCGAAATGGCAAAATTCAGTTCTAACAATCATAACACCGAAGGAGAATGTCACGCCGCTAGTTGTTGCAGCAGCTAAAGATCAAGAAAAGACTCCGAAAGAAGCTCCAAAGATGGATGTTGAAAAGCAAGTTGATGATCACCAGAATACTGAAAAACCTATAAATAAAGAGGCCATGGCTCGAAAGGGTCCAGATGAAACTTCACCACAATTACCACAAGTTGCTTCAACTAGCAATGATGCCATGAACAAGCAAGCTGCAGAGACGAAACGTGAGGCGGAAAAGGCTGATCGAAGTGTCGAAGAATTTACCAAAAAGGAAACAATTAGCAAAGAAACATGTTCAGAGAAAGAGAAGGAGAAGAATATTGTTGATAAACCTGAGAAAGAGGCCAAAGCTCAAAAGGGTCAAGATAAAACTTCACCACAAAATTATGCCATGGACAAGGAAATTACAAGTAAGAAGGATGATCAAAGTACTGTCTCAAAGGGTTCTGGTTCGGAGAAAGAGAAGGAAAAGAATGATATTGTTGATAAAGAAAAATTATGCGGTGATGCAAATTTGGGGGAAATGAAGAGAATTAAAGATGCTGCGATGAAGGCTGTGAAGGGAATGGCAATGGAGAATAAAGAAGAGAGGCAAATAAATATGGTTAATGTTGGTGTGGCAGCTATTGTGCTTGTGGGAATAGCAGCTTATGTTTCGTTCAGAATTAGATCAAAAGCTAGAAATAATTAATTAGATTGTTCTTGAAATATGAAATACATCATGATTAATTAATTCGTGATAAATATGTGATTAAGAGAGTTGTATTTGTGTTCTAGTTGTGAATAAAATGGATACCAATGATCCCGTTTACTGTGAAATATTTAGAAATGCTATGAATTATTTCTTGGGAAGATTTTCCTGACTTCATAAGTTTGAAAATATTTTTCGATCTATTGAAACTCATACACTTTGTTACAAACTAAAGATAAGAAGCATAAAATAATTATAATCTATTTACATCAGATACCATTAATCTAATCTCAATATTAATTCTCTAGATTAAAGAACAAGAATGTAATTTACACTCATCGTATTATTAATCTCATGTCAATCTGAATTAATCTCCCGTTTTAAGGAAAAGGTGTCAAATACCAACTCTTAGCTTATAAATAGAAACTAAAGTTTAAGATAATGATAGGATAGTATTTCTATTTTATATGAGGAAAGAGAACCTCTAAGAATAATAAGAATTGAGAGGTTAACGGAAAAGAACTTTATCGATTATTGCCTGTCAAACCATAATTGTTTTAGGCTTTATATAATCTTAAAAATTATTCTAATTCTAAAAAGACTCTAATTGCTTGATTCAAATTGCTTGATTCAAAAGATAATAGCCTAATTCAAAAGATATTCTAATTATTATAATTAGATAATAACATAATTATAAAAGGATTTAACCTAATAATCCTAATTCTATCCTAACTCAAAAAGAATCATAACATTTCCTTCTCCTTCGGTTCAACCTTGCCCTCAAGGTTGCAAGGTATTGCACCATCATCAACAGCTATCCCAGTTCATTCTCGTTGTTCGTTGTCGCCATTGCCAGTAGAGGAATCGTAACGTCATCCTCCTCCATCAACAAGAGAAAGAACTTAGCCCTACAATGATGCCCACGTTGGAAGCGTTCATCACAGTTATAGCACAAACATTCGTTGTGCCGTTCTTGCATATTTGTTGCTTTGAATCTTTCAACATGCAAGGAATCTAGTTGGTTTGGAGTCGGCAAAAGGCCTATTGCGCTAAAGGAATATTAGGAGTTGATTTATTAGGATCCCAAGATATGGGGCCGACAGATTACAGGTATAGGTGTAGAGCCTGCAACTTGTCCTCCTACAAGTGAGTAGGACTCATGGCACGGTTCAGGGTACAAGACCAGAAGGACTACACCTCCTATCGGAGTTCTAGTTTGAGCCCTAATATGAAGCAGCTCAGAAGGAACGTATCTGGAAGGCCAGAAACTTGATTGGACAACTCTTCAAACTGAGACTAATAATCAGCCATCAACCCACGCTAAGAGAGCTCCAAAATTTGACCTTGAAAATCCACAAATTTCGAAGGCCCAAGACGGACCTACAAATCTTGAGTAAACACAAATGCCATGGTTGAATCTGTTAATTGGCATACATCCAATGATACAATGACAAGGCTGGACTATCCATGTGAAAAGAGGAAATTATAAGATGTTGTTTCGGTGAGATATCATGATAATAAAAAAATTGTTCTACCTTAAACAACCAATCCTTCGGATCTTGTCCATCAAAGAGAGGAACATCAAGGCAGAAAGGCTTAAAAGGAAAGCCTTGAATGTTAGAGTGCGACAAGGATACCCCTCTGGCTCTTTGGCGAAACCCCTAGACAAAGACGTGCCACTCGTATACAACTAATGATGCTGAAATTGTTCCCAACAAGCATTCGAAACTGACATCTTAACACCTAACTCCTTAAGAAACTGCTCTAACGAATCAAGCTTCTCCATTACGGCAACTTGAGTAGTCATCTATTTCTGCATCTGCTCCTCCAAATTCTTCAAACGTGGGTTTTCCGCCATTGAGAAGAACGAGAGCACCAAATGATAGGATAGTGTTTCTATTTCATATGAGTAAATCGAATGTTGAAGAAAAATGAGAATTGAGACTCTAAGGGAAGAGAACTTTATTGATTATTGTCTGTCAAACCGTAACTGTTTTAGGTATTATATAGCCTTACAAATTATTCTAATTCTAGAAATACTCTAACTACCTAATCCAAAAGATATTCTAATTATTCTAATTAGATAATAACATAATTATAAAAGGATTTAACCTAATAATCCTAATTCTACCCTAATTCAAAAAGAATCCTAATTAAATTTATCTTAGAGTTAATATACATAAAATAGAATGTTAAGATCCTTTAATTAACTTAAATTTTGACTTAAAAATTTGACAAAATTTTTTATGATTCATTTTATTTATCGTAACACCATATATAGATGTTGTATATATTTATTAATTATTGATTATTAATCAATCATTCTCCATTAAGATAAGCATGTATATTTATTGTATGTAATTAACAATTAAAATTTCTAGATAGTCATCAATTGAGGAATTGATTGTGCCAAAAAAAGAAAAAATTGAGAAATCGTTATTTGAATAATTGTGTTTTATTAGAAAACGTTAAATGAAACGACCTCACCACCTCACTATAAAACCCCTCCATAGTCGGGTATTTCCGAAGTATCCATTGGCCATTGAGAACCTAAAAAAGACACGCCTAGGAAATGAGTTTGTTTCAAAACCTATACTTTTGTCTGCTTTTTTTTTTTTTTTTTTTTAAAGCATGATATTAAACATCCCATATCCATAAAATGATTCAAGAAATTTAGCTTCCTATAGAGTTAATATCATAAGTATACAATATCATTTAACCTTTTTCATTCATTTGATAAGGAAATTGTCATACTAGGTTTATTAAAACATATTTACTTCAACATAAACCAGAAACCATTTGATGTTATTTTACAACAAAAATTCAAAACATAGCAAAAGCATTCCTTCATGCGCATGTCAATCCTCAGTAGCCTGTCCCAGTTTCAAGCTTCAATCCTTACCTGCAGAACATTTTAAAAAATTTCGTGGGGTGAGCACTAATCGCTCAGTAAGGGAATATGTTCATTTATAAACTATTGAAGTTCATTATATAAGCATATTACTCAAGACCTTACCTACGTACAAGACATGACCTTCATTCATTGACATTATCAAGTTCATAAAACATGTCATACACTTTGAACTTTCCTTATAAACATAAGTCATAACATAACCATACATAATATAACATAGAACATATATGACTTATGCAATATTCATCAACATGGTATGCCTATTTCTTTTGCCTTTGTACTTGATGTTTTCATTAGTCTTTATTATTCGATTAGATTCATTTAAACCATTACCTTGTTCTTAGTCGTCACCTCGAAGGACTTATGGTTTCCACAAAGAATCAATTCCTTTGATCCTGGTTTATACCTCAAGAGACTCATGGAATTCATTCTTTAACATTTCATAAATTTTTCCATAAGTCAACTAAATAAGCTATATGCATCACCATTATGAATGCAAACATATGGGATAACATCTCCCATGCTTAATCATACTATTCATTCATTTAACATGTACTCTTGGCCAATTGCACAATTCATCAATCAATTTAGCAAAACTCCATGACATGAATATTTTCCTATTAAATTCATTAACTTAATTCATTCAATTTATCATAAAACACAAGGAATTTCAATAGTAAGCTTATTCAGTGGTTTATTAGAAATTATTAAAAAAAATGGGAATTTTTATTAAGGAGGTGGATGTCATATAGTTTGTCACTTTTCAAGCAATTGTTTCCTCATCTTCCAATTCGAATTGATTTTTGGCTAAAACATAAAAGTTTTAGGCCTATTTTTGAACTTTTTAATACTTTAAGAATACGCTCAATCAAACTTGTATAACTTCAGTTATGACTGATGCAGCGAAGCATGTACAGTATAAGTCTTAAAAAGTCAAATCCGAATTCTATTCATTTTTAACCATGTCACATTCATTTGCACATTCATAGTATTTGCCATATCATTCTAAGTACAAAAGGCCATAAAAACCTCCCTTTTTACAAAACCAAAAAGTGTCAGAACATCGTCCAACTACAAATCTCTTAATTGGCATAATCATCCTCCATATGCACACATACACCAATCAACACACCCATTTAAATAATCCATAACCAAATCATAGCATCACACTCAAATTAACATAAATAGATGTGAGTTTCATCAACCCTAGGTGTTATCAATTTTAGTCATAAGGGAGATTTTTTTTTCCTTACCTTAGTATTCAAAGCACAAAGACACTCCTCCTTAGCTCCAAAGGTTCACCCTTTCTACCTTACACACATAGTCACTTATGAATTTCTCTTTTAACTAAAAATCACAAGAAATTAGGGTTTTAAAACTCACCTTAAACCCTAAAATTGAAGTTCTTTAAGTGTGGATTGTGATCTCCTTCAAAATTCAACTTGAAATCCTATGAAAATTTTGAGAGAGAGAGTTTGAATTAAAGCCTTAATTTAATGGAGGAAAATAAGACTTGAAAAAGAGAGTTTGGTGTTCTAAGAGTGTTGGCCGACTTAACCAAGAAAAAATCTTATAAACATTTTATTTTTTTAATTCCCAAATGGGATTGGCCATCAAAAGTTAGATATATAGGTCATTTGGTATAAATTTTGCATATAAGGGTATTTTGGTCATTTCTACTACAACATAACTATTACACTCTTTTAATGCCATTTGACTTCTCTTTTCTACTTGTTGACCAAGTAATTCCATAATATAATTAACTAATTTACCCATAATACATGTTTATGGATACTTGATTCCTATAAATTATTGTGAAAATACCATTATACCCTTTGAGAACCATTTATGTCGTTTAACCTTATTAACCTCCTTCATGACCCTTTAACCATATTTCTTATCAATATCATCAATTCCTAACACTTTACAACATTCACGTCTCATAATGCATGAAAATGACCATTTTACCCTTTTATTGATAAAAATCCTTTTAAGGGTAGAATTACATACCTTATAGCATCGGAATGCTGACACGAGGGTTTACAATCCTCCCTTCCTTATAAGAATTTTGTCTTCGAATTTTAATTGAAGAAATCTAGATACTTTTCTTTCATGTTTTGCTCGACCTCTCATGTTGCTTCTTCAACATTATATTCCTCCACAATACTTTAACAAGCGGTACATTCTTGTTTTGGAGTTCCTTAAT